AAGCCATCTCATCCAAGCGCTCTTGGGTTTTCATCTCTCATTTTAGATAACTAGTACGAATCTTGTGGGATGACTAAGAGATATTTGTTAGTATTTATAAATTAAAAATATTCATTAATATTTATAAATTAAGAAATGAATCAATATGTAATATAATTTATTTATGGGTAAGAGATATTCGTTAATATTTATAAGTTAAAAATGATCACTATATAATATTTATAAATAAAAAATATAGAATCAATAATTAATACATTTTAACTATATTAATTAATTGAAAATGTTATATGAATTTAAATTGTTCAAAATTATATAAAATATGTATATTTAAAATTAGTACACGACCTGTACGGTGCACGTTCTGATAATAAATTACATTATATCTATTTCAAAATAAGAGTCATCTTAAAATTTTTATTCTGAAATTTGATTTGACTACAATGTGAATTCATAAAAATAAATATTTTGATAAAGGTAATTAGAATTTTTTGGCGAGATGTTAATTATTATTTCAAGTAAATACACACACATATATATATATTATTGTCTATTGAACACTTCCTTGTACAAAATATTTTTGATTTTATTTGTTGGTGAACATTGTCACTACAAAGTAATATTTTCAAACCATTTTAGTTGGTGACACGGGAGACGACAACATATAACGGGTCATGACTTAAAACCGACTTTTAAAAAAATAAAGGAACATGCGATAATTGTCCTTTGCACTTGTCTAAATTGTCCTTTGCTCTTGTCTAAAGCCATAACTATCACCGCTGTAACTTGAGAAAGTAATTCTAACATCGGAAGAAGTTATAGTCATTTTAGGAAGTAACACCTTCTTACTTGCACGATTCCTAGTTAGAATTATTAGTTTTTCTTGTATATAATAAAGCACCAAATGAGTTTATATTTTCTTTAATCGGGCCCAAATATATACATCACCCAATGCATAAACATTAGGGAAATGCTATATGTACATAATATTGTACATAGTGGTGTACATAACACTCACATTGAGTGGGACCTACCAAAAATAAAAAATTAAGTGGATCCCACTCCATGTGAGTGTTATGTACACCTCTATGTACATTTATTATGTACATGTAGCATTTTCCTAAACATTAATAGGTATAATGGCCCACTACATTAACATATTTTGAAAATGCTATTTGTACAATAGGGTTTTTACAATGACTTTGACAATTTCAAGCCATTTACCTTTATGCCCTTATTTGATTATTATAACAATTATAGGTATATAAAATGAACTATACCATGACAGATATAAAATGGGATATGGCTGAAAAAATATATAGATGACTTATTTAAATCTGTTCAACAACAGTCTAAGGATTCTAAGCAAGATTTAGAACCTATAGCAGCTAAAATAATCAATGATATTAAGCAAGAAATTGTTGAATGTCCTTGTAAAAAAAAAAGCAGAAAGTAACTTCTAATCAAGAAGAAAATATATCTTTTCTAAAATACTCATATCCTAATGATCTAGTAGGAAATGAAGAATTAGGAAGTTCAGGAAATCCTAATGCCTTTAAATGGCCAAAAGATGCATTGAAAAAATGAATTTTCATGAAAAACTTAAGAAAAATCTTTGGAATCTAATTAATTTAGATCTTGATGATAAACAAGCTATCCAGCTTGAACATAATTCGTTTTTTAGAAATGAATGAAGAACAATGTAATTCAGATTTAGAATTAAACCCTGAAATGAAAAAATTGTTAAAACTTGATGAAAATGATCAGTTTTATCAAATAGAAGAAACTGAAACTGACACTCAGTCAAAATCAGAAATAAACTTCAATGATGAGGAAGAACTTCTGAAAGAAAATTTTAGAATGGAGATACCAGAATCATCTAGAACAAAAACTGATCAAGACATGAATACTGATGAATTTGAAAGAAAACCATCAGTAACTCCTAGACCATCCAGGTCATCTAACAACAATACCGGTATTCCTGGTATTGCTGGAGAAGTACATACAGCCTTAATCCTAGATTTAGACTGTAAAAAACCTGAAACATTTAAGAAACTAATTGATAAATGGGGACTAGAAATGAGTCTTGTGATTAATCTTAATCCCAATCTTAATCCCAGTACTTTCAACACAGCACAACTTGCGTTAGCACTTGCTGAGCATAGAATGCTAGGAAATGCACAAAATTTTATAAAGAGAGCTCAATGGGATACTCAAAATGTAAACCCTGCAGGTATGCTTGAAAGCATTCTGAATAGTCTATATACTTTATTTTTGGGTATTGATCGTGTATCAAATGCAGAAAATGAAAAACTTGTAGAACAATCTAAAGCAAAGGTAAGATTAAATAATCTAACTCTTTGTGATATTTGCTATATTAATGAATTCAATTGTGATTTTGAAAAGAATTTTTCCAAATAGATTTTGGAGAACATCCTGAATACATTAGAATGTATTTAGCAAAAATTCTTATTGTAGGAAATGATGCTTCAAAGAAATATGAAACAGCTGAAAACCTTATGAAATATAGTTTTGGTTATGCCAAAAGACTCTTGAGAGAGGAAATTGAAAAAATTTGTAATGCTACTACAAAGCAAAAACAAATGAAGAAGTTCAACAGAAATTGTTTTTCTAAAATCTCTGAGAAATCTACAGACTATGGTTGTAAACCATATAAAAGAAAATCAAAGAAAAAGTACTTAAGAAAGTATAAGTACCAGAAAAGAAAAAAGAGAAAAACTTTTAAACCTGGTAAATATTTTAGGAAGAAACAGAAGTTTCAACCTAAGAAAAACTTTCGTCCAAAAGGGACAAAGAATTGCAGATGTTGGATCTGTAACATAGAAGGTCACTATGCAAACAAATGCCCTAACAGACAAAAATCTGAAAAAGTAAAATTTCTTTAGATTGCAGAATCATTTGGTCTTGAACCAATTGAAGAAGAATATTCAGATATAGAAGAAGTCTATATACTAGAAAAATTAGAAGATGAATCCTCTTCAGAACATCGAGTATAGAAAACAGTGATACAGAGTGAGGATAACCTCATAAGTATTACAAACCCGAATTCAATCTACATAAAAGGTAAATTGAAATTTGCAGGTTATAAACAAATGGAAATACATTGTTTTGTGGATACAGGTGCAAGCCTTTGTTTATCTTCAAAACATATTATTCCTGAAGAACATTGGGAAAATGCTTCAAGAACATTGCAAGTAAATATTGCAGATGGAAGTTCAATCTCAATAACTAAGGTTTGTAAAAATTTAAATATAATGATAGCGGGAGAAATATTTCATATTCCAACTGTTTATCAACAAGAATCTGGAATGGATTTTATTCTAGGAAATAATTTCTGTCAATTATATAAACCTTTTGTTCAATACACAGATAGGATAATTTTCACAAAAAACAATCAACCTGTACTCATAGGGAAATCAAGAACGATATACAGGGTTGGAAATCCAGGATGTTTAGATTCCATGAAGAAGAAATCTAAATCCAAAAAACCTGAACCAGTTCAAATAACTACTGATAAAATATCACTTCTTAAAGAGAGGGGGAAGAGGTTATTAGAGTTTAGGAAAGAAATGAACATTTTTGTTCTTAATCAACAAAAATTTTCTATAATAGAGGAAATTATGGAAAAAAGTTTGTGCAGAAAATCCATTTGATCCTAATAAGACCAAGTATTGGATGAAGGCTTCTATCAAATTGATAGATCCTAAAACTAAAATTATGGTGAAAGCAATGAGCTATACACCCAAAGACAAAGAAGAACGTAATCAATAGGTTCAAGAAATGCTTGACATGAAAGTCATCGTTCCAAGTAAGTCTCCTCATAGATGACCAGCATTTTTGGTAGATAAGAAAGGAACTTCAAAACGCAGAATTGTTATTGATTATCGAGAGGTTAATAAGAAAACGATTGGCGATGGTCATAATTTACCAAATAAAGATGAACTCTTATCTTTATTAAAAGGAAAAACAATATTTACATCTTTCGACTGTAAATCAGGTTTTTGGCAAGTCCTCTTAGACAATGAATCCCAACT